CCCCCGCCCTCCCCACCCGGCTCAAAAGCAGCTGGATTTCCACTTTCTTTTTTATTGTTATTCATTGGGATTAATATGTTACCAAATCATTCCATAGTGTCTCTTGAAGTCATCGGTCTCCTCTCCCGTCACACTGGGTCCTGTATCTGAGGCTCCCCAAATGCAGGGCTTCCAAAAAATAGGAGTAGATAGATGATGTAGAAATTGAACATGGTGATGATTAACAACATGATAAATATAATAAATGTCACCAACTTGTACAAATAAAGAATGCTGAAATGGCAAACTGTTACATAGATACTTAATACCTTTGTTAATCAAGTGGATAATTACTTCCCTTTCTACATTTCCAGGGTAGTAAGATCGCTTGATAACCGTCCCGGCTCAGGACAGACACATTTTCTGGCTTCCTCCAAAAAGAAAGAACGAAAACCCCAGAGCTTATATTCAGCTCTCCTGCAGCCCTGTTGTTGCTTTCTCAACCCTTCTCATTATCTTTTTAAAAATTAATGTTTATGTTTGGCAGTAATGTAGACAACCAGATATATGCCCATCAAAATGCCCACAATGTGCAGTTCAGAGTTCACATTGTTTCACCATTGTCACTCTCTCTACACATAATTCTCCCACACTATTAATTTAGACTCCTTGCCCCTGAGAGCTCTCATCTGTGATATGGATGGATTTTTTTGTCCATTTGAGCTCATATTGATAATTCTTTTTAACATTCCAGGCTAACAATGTACTGTTTCCTCTGACAAGTCACTTCATGGGTTGCAATCCTGTCTTGATAGCACTGTTAGTGGCAAAGGCATTTGATTGCTCCTAATTCCCCAAGGCAGGAAATACGGATTTCCTCAGTCTGCTCGCTGGACTGCAAAATCTCACTCCAGCCTTGTCTACACTTGTAAGTTTGCTTAGACCACGATTGATCTGTTTCTTCAAACTTAGTTCTGTTTCCACCTCCATGGCCTATTAGCTGCTTAATTTTTCCAGACAAGTCTCCCCAAATGAACCATGGCCACCCAGGAAGGTCAGCGCTGCAGTCGGCGTCTCTGCACCTGCGAGTGCTGCTGTCGTTCGCGTCCTTCCACCATGAAGCCCTTGGTGTCATCCGTCATGAGGGTTCAGTGTGCCCCTGATTTTCATTGGACACAGAATAGATTCGTTCATTGGTCTCTGCCTTCTGGTGTGAGATGCTCCAGGTGGTACCCGGGCTCCCGTGGGCTCCTTTTTATCTCCCTCTGCCTCCCTTGGACTCACAGCTGCGCACTTGCTCCTCTGTCTTTCCGTGGGCCCAGCCTTGTTCTGACTGCCTCTGTAGGGGTTCGCTGCCCAGCAAACTCAGACTACGAGGTTCGCTTTTTGTCTTCTTTTTGTAAAAAAACAAAATCTCTTCGCGTTCCTTCATGCTAATGAGCGTAGGTACTCATGTAGGTCTTTCCTAAGAGGGAAGTGGTGTAAAGTGAAATTTCAATAAGGGGTGGGGAGAATACCTGGAGTCAATTGGGCTCCTGTGTGTCCCATCTGGCAAGCTTCTTCTATAAGATATTAAACACTCACTTTCTCTCACACCAATATTTATTTAATCTCAGCGTTTAATGTCTTATACCTCCATTATCTCAAAACTGAGTTCCTACAGCCAAGAGCTATTCACGTGCGACTCAAACGTGGTATTTAAACATGTTCATCTTGAGATGGAGTCCTGGGTGCTGAGTAATGTAAGCACTTGGGGCTCGCAGCTGCTACCTAAAAGGCTGGGGCTTGAGTAGTCTACACCCAGGGACCCTAGAAGAAAGGCCTGGAAATCTACATTCAAAACAAACCAGCCATAGGAGATTCTCTGGAGCACAGATCTTCTCAGATACACAACTGCACCTGGTTTTGAGAGAGAGTCTAGAAGTCAACTGGCAGGTACTAGCTCCGTGATAGATGAAGCAACATACGCTGCACCAAGCTGGAGGGTAGGACATGGGAACAAAAAGACACGGCACGATAGATGGGAAACTGCGAGGAACAGGAAACATATTTGACTTGGCCACATATTAGCTAATTGAACTAGATTGGCTGTCTAACCCCAAGATTAGCAGTTCAAACTCACTAGCTGCTCTGCAGGAGAAAAGAGGAAGCTATTTGTATGTATCTCAGAAACCCTATGTTGGTTCATATAGGCTCGCTATGAGTTTGAATGAACTCAATAGGATGGATTTGGTTGTTTGCATCTCAGTGTCTAAGAGAACATGTTTTGAAAGTTCAGAATGTAGTGGGTATCATTTTTTGGATAATTCTCGAAGAAAGAAAGGGCCTTATAGGAGAGGAATAAATATACTTATTTCCTTCTAGAGAAACTGCCACCACCCCCCACCACCCCAAACTAGAATGGAGTTAGATGTTAAAGCTAGATTCATAAAAGTCTTGTCTGTCTGTGGGGAATTTTTCCTCAAAAGTTTACAAGTCTGTATATATATATGCCTGGTCTACTACAGCAGCAACATTGTCAGATTCTGGAAAAATAAAATAGGTAACCTGCAGGGAACATTTCATTTGATAATTCTAATAATACTATCACTAATCAAGTCAGTGGTTCAGAATTTTACATTCTAGTGAGAAAAGGGAAATATACATATATAAGAAAGCTTATTCCAATACATGGAATATTCACTTTGTTCACTTTGTACATGGACTGTTTGCTTAACCTGTACAATTAAGAAACTGATAATGGTGCCTTATAGTAGACCAGGAATGTATATAATCCTTAAAGATATGATTTGATTCTGTTCTCGTATTTACTCATAGCCCTATCTAAGAACAATTAGTTATTATGATGTGGCCCTGCTGGATACTTGCCCTCAGGAAGAGATCACAGAAGACATGGGTGCTACAGCAAAATGTGTGGAGAAATCAAGTGGTGCCCAACTATCAGAAAGAATAGTGTCTGGGGTCTTACAGGCTTGTCTTAAAACAAGGGACCAGCTAAGTAGGATGTCAGCTAAGTCCACATGGAAGGAGCCCACCAGCCCATGCGACCCAAGGATTGTAAATAATAAAATCCAAAACCAAAGGAAGGAATGGTGTTAGAACTTAAATTCTGAATACCTCATTTACCAAAGACTATGGATGACAGCGAAAGCCACCCTGCATTAAGCGTCCACGGAACTCACTGGGCTGTTGACCAGGAGGGAATAGCCTGCCATCAGAGTGCACTGGGAAGTAGCTTACTGCAGCCACAATTAGGGTAAAATTCAACACCTTTCTCTTTGTTTGCCTTTTTCACCCCTTCATAATTTGTTCTAGTTTTTATTATTTTCTACTTTTTTTGGCTTGTGGTTTCTGTGGGTTTTTTTGATGTTGATGTAAGAGTGTTTAATACAACTGTCTTTATATGAAATCCAGGATAGGTTCAACTTGTAGAGACAGTGACTGTATTAATAGTTCCTTGGGGTTATGGAAAGGGAGGATGAGGAGCTAAGTAAAGGATACAAAAGGGAAGAAAATGACCCAAACCTGATTGTGGTGACAATGGCACAGCTCTTTTTAATATGTATAAAACATTGAAATGTGTAAAGGAATTCGCGCATTGGTAAAGCTTTGAAAGACAGCAACAACAAAAAACGTCAAATGAAATAGAAACCCTAGGCGCATAACCCTCATGCCCTGGGGCGCTAGGCCTCGAGGTCAGGAGTTTGAAAGCAGCCGCTGCTTCCTGGGAGAAGGATGAGGCTTTTCACTCCCCTCTTTCAGGCTCCGGAACCCCGCAGGGGCTGTTCGACCCTGCAGGCCCTATAGGGTCGCTGCGAGTCGGAATCAGTTTAATGGCATCGAGTTTGCGTTGTCAGGTTTCTGCACTTCAGATGGGAGGCTGCATGGGCCTGACCAGTGGGGAGGCAGGGCCCACGTAATCGACAGAGTGCTGATCGGGGCAGTGACCAGCAATGGGCCCTTCCACCTTTGGATCCCTGGGCCTTTTCACGACTTGTTGACCCAACAAAGCCAGCCAAGCGGATGCTCTGATGCAGGGGTCCTCAAACTTTTTAAACGGGGCCAGTTCACTGTCCCTCAGACCGGTTGGAGGGCCAGACTCTAGTTTACAAAAACACTATAAACAAATTCCTATGCACACTGCATATATATATATATATATATTTTCAGGGGCAGGCCAACAGGCTTGCTTTTATTGAGTGACTGATCAATGTTCAGAGAAGAGAGGGGCAGTTTAATTCTTGGTCTCTTCCTCCTTGGACAGCGTCTTCATGAGCTCTTCTTTCTTGGCCTGGAGTCGCTCCTCTGGGTGCTTGCTTGCCTCCTTGGTCTTAGACCTGCGCGCCTCAGCCTGGTCTGCCAGGAGCTTCTTGCGAGCCTGGTCTGCCTTCAGCTCATGGACGTTCCACGATAATCCGCTGGTTCCTAAACATGCCCCCCTTCCCCTTCAGGGACAAGCTGTGATAATCTATGGCGGTCAGTCTTCTTTGACTCCAGGTATCTCCTGAGCAGCCGGCGGAGAATCCTCATCCTCCTCATCCACGTGACCTTCTCGGGCATTAGAGCATTGGCAGTACCCTTTCGCTCTCCTATGCCCATATGCCCGCTCTTGCGTTGGGCTGGGGTGTGTTTGCGGCACCGGCCTGAGAATGGACGGTCACCGGCTTGCGGATGATAGGCCTTCTTTGATCAGTTTCCCGGTTTGCTGGCGGGAGTTGGCATTGGCCATTTCATTGGTCTCCTTGCGGTCCGACCAGACTTTCTTCTTGCCTCATTGGAGGACACTGGAGGCGAGCCTCTTCTGAAGCCAGAGCATCCTCAGGGCTGCGGCCGCAGCGCCGAAAGGCACGCGTAATCTTATTTTAAAGCAAAAAACGAAAACACCCGGCGGGCCGGATAAATGCCCTCGGCCGGCTGCATGTGGCCCGCGGGCCGTGGTTTGCGGACCCTTGCTCTGACGCATCAGCAGTGTCTGTGCCCCGGCCCGCTTCTCACGGTGCCCTGTCGCCTTCTCTCCCCAGGAATCCGAAGGCGTTCCCTGCCACTACTGGTCGCTGTTTGACGGCCACGCGGGATCGGGGGCCGCCGTGGTCGCCTCCCGACTGCTGCAGCAGCACATCACCGAGCAGCTGCAGGGCATCGTGGAGATCCTGAAGAACTCGGCCGTGCTGCCCCCGACCTGCCTCGGGGAGGAGCCCGACCACACGCCGGCCAGCAGCCGGACGCTGACCCGGGCCGCCTCTCTCCGCGGAGGAGTGGGCGCCCCGGGGTCCCCCAGCACCCCGCCCACCCGCTTCTTCACGGAGAAGAAGATCCCGCACGAGTGCCTCGTCATCGGGGCCCTGGAAAGCGCCTTCAAGGAGATGGTAGGTGTCCCTGGAGAGCCCCGGGCCCCAAGGTTGGCCCCTTGTCTTAGTGCAAGGTCCCCGCCCGCCGAAGGTGCGCGGTGTCGGGCCTGCCAGCGGCTTGCTTTCATAAGGTGGTTTCCATTTTTAGAAGAAGCCAGGGAAGCGATAAGAGTTCCCGGAATTGATTGCTGGCCAAAAGTAAAATGAAGATGAAAGAGAGCATGCGTGCGGTGGCCGGCTTAGGAAATGCATGCAGTATGACTTTTCTTTCAGTGTTCTCGAACGGATGCCAGCCCGTAGAATTCTACTTCTGGAGACGTGAGCCAGGGGGCGTCTCAAGTCCAGCTGTTTGGGGAAGCTGAGCGCCTTCAGTCCAAGCGCTCAAAGTCCTGCCCGCTCAGCCCTGATCTGGGAGGAGGCGCACCAGTAGAACTGAGGGGACAAGAAACAAGACCCTTGGGTTTTGTGGGGAAGCTTGGTGGTGTGGTCACAGTCTCAGGTCCCTCCCCCCCAAGTTCCCCTTCTGTCATGGAGCATCACCTGGACTGGAAGGCAGGGAGTAAGGAGTTGGATACAGGAACCCCTGGTGGCTTAATAGTGATCCATTGGGATGCTAACCATGTGCTAAGCAACTGAAACCCTCCTGTAAAGAGTTACACCCTGGGAAACCCCCAGGGGGCAGTGCTCCCTGCCCCTATTGGGCCACCCTATGCGTGGGCATCACTCATTGGCAGTGGTTGGTTGGTGGATCGGTCTACTTAGGAACAGGGATTTGTTTGTACCTTTACCTTTGGAAATGTCCTTTTCTGAAGGACTGCTGGAAGGGAGACCAGCGAGCCGTCAGGTGACCTTCTGCTCACAAGAAGACAGGCATGTGTTCTGTCTCTTGCTCTTCCTGTGCCACCTCCTCCCCTCCCCGAGCTTGCTGTCTACAGAGGCAATTCTTGGTGCCGAAACTGTTCTCTCCCTAGTGAGAACCTGTATCCAGAAAGCGTGTGAAGTAGTTACAGACACTCGACAACGATCGCAGAAGGGCGTGGGTGGAGGGGGTATATCTGGGGATTAAAAAGTAGGGACAGATATTACCTGCAGCAAGAGCAGGTCGAGGCATCTCCCAGCACCAAGGGTGCCCAGGCCAGGTGTCTTCCCTGGCTTGGGGTGTACCCACCAGAGGAGTAGGGCACCCCGTGTTACACAGCTTCCGCTGATTTGTTTGGAAGGCAAATAGTTCGTGTGTCCACACCGCAGAGTCACACCTCTCCTCACTTTAACTCACCCCTTCTCTGGCTCCCACCGGTCTTTACGTATCACGCAGGTAGCAGTTCTCCTCTGACTGGCAGGTGGTTTACAAGCCAGGTGTCTCTACCTCATGTCCAGTAGCCCTCATCTTTGAAGTCTTGCTTTAAGAAAAAGAAAGAAAACACCAGGAGACTGGAAATAGTCTTGAGGAAATAAAAGGAATGGGGGCCGGAAAAGGGATTCCTCATCAGGCTGGGTGTGAAACGCATGCTCCCGCTCTCTGTAGTAGCTCTCACTGAGTCGTGTGTTTACAGACAGAGTGGTACTTACTTAATTGAGGCAAAAATTTGACCAAGGGCTATCTCATTGAGTTGATGTTCATGATAGAGTTGAAAAACTGCGCTGGCCGTGCACGCACACGCGCTTCATTCAGCAATGACCAGTACCACGGAGCATCTCTTCAAAGGCATTGCTGTATTCTCCATATTACCCACTAGAGGCCAATATAGTAACGTGTCAGCCGCCACCACCACCACCACCCCACCAGCTGTCTGTGGGCTGTCTCAGGCCTACTAGCAACAACTGGATCTAAAATGGGAGGCTCATTAAAAAAACAAACAAACAAAAACAGCCAAAAGCCACATTCTTGTCTTCTAAGAGTTCCTTAGCTACTTCAGGACCTGATTTTTTTTTTCTTGGAAACCTAGTTATTTGCAAAAGAGCATTTGTTTTGTTTGGTTTTTTCCTTCCGTGTCTTCATTTGTTCAGTCGAACACATAGGTTGAGTGCCGACTGCCAACTGTATGCCAAAAGGAGGCAGGGAAGGACCTTGATTCTTAGGCTAGTTCCCTGATCTCCCAGCATTCCTACGGAAACTGGCAGGAAAGAGAATACAAATGGGAACTTCCTGGAGAGGGGAGGAAGGTCGAGGATGACCTGGGAGCCTGGTAACAAGGGGAGGGGAAGGCTCTCTGAGATAATGATACCCAGGGTGGATGGGCAGGAAGGGGGTTCTGGGCCAAGGAGACAGCTTACTTCAGAGAGAGTAGCCAGGTGGCCCAAAAGCCACCCGCTGAAGTCGGCAGTGGTAGCAGGTTTCAAGGGTAGGAAGGTGGCAAGGTGAATTGGAAGAGGTTGGCTAGAACCCGCCTCTGGATGACCTGGCATGCTGAGTTGTGAACGTTAGCTTTAAACCCTGCTTCTGTTCCATGCTGCTTCCCTTTTCCCAGCTTCCTCTACCCAGCCTTTCCCACTTAGTGTCACTAGTTCTCAGCACATCCGAGGCCCACCTTGACTCGCACCATATGGCTGGCCTGATGAAATGAGAGTGTCCATCAGGTCTCCGTTCCCGTGGGCCTGGTGAGGGTGATGGTACCTCCTGCGTTGTCCAGGTCTGAGCCAGCTGATGCCTCTTGTTTCCGAGTAGTTGTCCCCCTTCACTCAAAGGTGTCCCAGTGTGAATGATCATGCGTGAATCTACCCCGTCACAGAGGGATGGCCCTGCTTATTCTTTTCCCCATCAGACACTTCAGAAAAATCCCACCCCAGTGGCTGACTGCTCTCTGAAATTTGGGTGAGCTACCAAACCCGTCACACGGAAATTAGACAGCACACTCACTTGAATGGCCTAGAAAGTCATCAGGTACGAAATACTTTGTCTTTTCTCTTCCTCACGTTAGACTTTGAAAGTCATGGTCTAGAGACAAACCTCCTGTATCTCTAAATGCTCAGCCACCCAGCTGCTGCTCTCGCTCGGTGGCCTGCCACGTGGCTCCGCCCCAGCCTTTCCAGGAGAGGCAGGATCGGAATGTCCAGTCCATCCCAAACATCTTTCTCACAGGGGTCGGCTACCTTCTACTTCTGTTTCTGCGTGTAATTTTGGTGTTTGGGCTTTTTATGCCATGTGAAATGAGATGGATTCAGCAAAGCACTGGGGCTTGGTGACCTTGGTTTTCCCTCCGACTTTTAATCTCTAAAAGTACAGTTCCCACCCAGCACCTAGTCCTCCCCTTACCTCACCAAGGACATCTATGCGGCAGCCCCTTCTGATGTTCAGACGGTCACTTAAAATACCCTTAAAGGTAGAACTTGACTTTTGCATGAGGTTTTGCTTTATTTACTGCAGTTCAACAATGTAAAACCACTGAATTCTCTCTCTCTCTCTCTCTCTCTCTCTCTCTCTCTCTCTCTCTCTCTCCCCACTCTTCTTCCTCTTTCTTTCTTCCCTTCCCCTCTCCCCTTTTTCTGTCTTTCATTGCAATACTGTCTTCAAACCCTAGTATACATTGAGCTTTCTTATGGTGAATAGAAGTAAAAGGTAAGTCCTCCTTTGGGGGCAATATGCTCACACTTTAGATCAATATGGAGACCGGTGATCTCATGCTTATTTGGATCTCCTAAATAGCATTAAAGGTGGAGGTGACATGTTGCTCTTTATTCAGAATAGGGAGAGAATTCAAAAGGTCAGTCGCACTAAGCCAGAATAAATGCTGTCATTTCTAGTGGGGCAGTGGGGAGGGGTCAGTTTGCAGTTTGATTGGGTACTGTAAGCTCCTGTAAAACAGTATTTTCCCTTCCTGCAAGCCACCTGGCACAGCATGTGGCATGGGGTGCAGGAGTCCTCTGACCACTGGGCTCCCCGAGCCCCCCATATTGCATCTCATCTTGGATCTTCCTTCCTTGTGAAGAAGGATGAGAAAGACATGCCTTTCTATGTCCATTGTGAACCACGAACCAGTTTCCCAAAGGGTCAGAATCAGAAACTCTTTGGCTTGTCTCAGCTTCCTTTTCCAGCAGTATGCTGTAACAAGGCCTAACCTCATAGGTAAGTCGTCGTCACCTGTTATGTGAAGGTTAGTACTTGCCCCAGGATGATAAGACATGCGTGAAAGAACTCTCTCCTGCATCCTGATTTCCATCTCCTCTTCCACTCGTCTCCATCTTCTAGCCCATCCTCCAAGATAAGGGTGTGGGGTGCTTCCATCGTCTACATTTCACACTCATGAAAGAAGCATGGCGCGCCCCATTGGGTGGATGTGGGTGTGGAGTAATTGTATCAGAACCCGGTCTCCACAGATTAACCTGTTTTCTGTGGAGTTTTCATTCTGAACCTAGCCAGGAGAATCAACATTCCATTGGCAGCCTTCTCAGGGTGGACGCCAATTCCCTGCCGTCATGAAGAAGGCTGAAGGAGTTTGGTTGCTATTCAGGGAGGAAAAAACAACATTAACTCATTAAAATTATTTGAACCACATGGTCAACCCAGATCTCATTGCACTGGGCTTGAAAACAAAGACCAAGACAGGATAAAGTGAAGAGGGAAGCTAGCAAGCCAAGCCATGGCTAGAGTCACCCCCCCCCAAAGAGGGGGGATTTTCAGGTGTATGTGTGTACGTGTATACCCGGAAGTAAATGGAGGATCTTAAGATATGCAACAGATTCTTGAAGAAATGGTCATGAATATGCATTAGGGCAGTGCTGTGATGCTTGGCTGGGAAATACCTTGCTGGACCCTTTGCTTCTCCATGTTGTCCCAGTTGGTCTGGTGACCTCTTTCCAGCTCCTTTCTGTTTCTTGACCAATGCATTTTGTTCCGGGGTCAATGGTAGGCTGCAACGGCTCTTTCTGCACACGTTTGGCAGCCCAGGTCTAGTTACAGCAGGTGCTCACGGACTGCGGTGCGGTACTGTCCCAGGAGCAAAGGACTCCAAAGAAACAGGTGATCTGGAAGGAAAGAACGGGTGAATTATAAACGCTGTATGAGGTAGACACTGCGCTGC